CCTTGCAACAAGCTGATAACAACAATAAGTATTCCTACCGTCTGTAAAAGTGATCATGAAAGAGAATGCAGTGGTGAGGGCCCACTAGGGCTGTAGAACCAATAAACATAAAATCCTAATTATTCTTGGACTGACTGTAGAGCAACTGGTGGAATGCAGATTTGCAGATGAAACCGAAGTACTCGGAGAAAACCTGCACCAGTGCCTCTTTGTTCACCACAAATCCCTCATGACCTGACTCGGCTTCGAACCCGGGCCTATAATATATATATATACACATACACATTTTTATGAATATATGGATGGCGCATCCCACTCATCTATGAGATAGAGACATTCTTACGTAATCACTTTGTTATATTTTATTTCCGATATCAGTGGTCTGACTATTAAGCCAATTTAGTTATATATCAGCCTCTACTTCCGGTTTCCCTTTTGTTACTGTGCTCATGTAAGCTAGGAAAGCCTGTATTTATGGCATGGAACAGGGAATAAGAATTGGGTTCATAGCCGTATATTAATAATACACAAACATGTTACGTAAACAATACGTATAATATCCATTAATGAGCAAGATAACAAGAACGAAAGTACAGACAATCCAAGATATATACAAAAGGCTTCACACTGAATATTGCGCCATCAAATTCCTCCACTCAAATTGTGGCCTCCAAGGGCCGCCACATTGTATCGTCACATTCCCACTCGCAAGTCCGGTACCATTAGCGGATCTCAAATGATTTTCTTGCTTTCTGTGACTTTTCCTTAAAAATATTCCTCCCATTTCTCCGAGTAACAGCAGTAACTTTCTTGCTCGTCTAGGAACATATCCATAATATTTGTGAACCCTGGATATAGAGGGCCATTTTTCTTCTTCTTTAATTTTGTCCTGTTGGCAAATATGTCATGCTCCTCTGTTTTCTTCCATAGGTAGTAGAAGTTAACTAACTCAGCGACTGATCGTGTTCTCACCTTATTTCTTTGGATAGTGTGGAAATCTTTACCATAATGTTGAAGGCCTTCCTGAAAATTTTCACGTTCTTCCTCAGACCAGAGACTCAAGGTGTCAGCTGGAGGCACAACATTCATGCGGAGTCTTCTTAGTGCTTCTTCAGTGTCATAACCACACTGATGTAATAAGTAGAGCGCCTGCTCGTCATCTCTCGTGTGAATCCCAGCACTGAACCCCTGTGCTCTCACGAGAAAGTCCTCTGTATCCTTTCCCGACAGATAATTCGGGCTCCACAACAACTTATCTTCATTTTCATAAGGCTGAACATTATCGTAGTTACAAAGACATTCAGGAATTTCTGCCTGATGAGCACTCCCCACCTTGATTGTTCTTCTCCACTTCACTTCCTCCTCCCTCTGTTGCCGCCTTGATGTGTCGCAACACTTCATGTCGTGAAACAAGACTTCGAGGAGTATTCTTGCGACGTCACCTTATTACTATTCCACGTAACTACAGTTCAACGTGACTATAACACAAAATGTTGAACAAGTAATTTCAAAGTTGCTCCTTTGGTATTAACAACTCTCACTAGAATGTCGAACTGTCCGTGCTGGCTAACCACTGGCTTCTGTTAACACACACCCTGCCTTCTGTCGGCACACTGTCCTCTATCGGTTCTCAGCTTCGCTTCTTATACTGTTGCCTGTTACCCTAGCAACAGCAGCAGCGTCCGCTGTTACGGCATAGCGGGGAACTGTTTACTGGCCTGTTGTCTAGCAGCTCCTCCGCTATTACGTCACAGCGGGGAAGTGTTTACTGACAACACGTGCGTTATCGCGTAGCGCTAAGTCCACGATTCCCAACACTTCACAGTCAATCTGTCCTCAAAACCGTAATAGTCCTCAAATGTCATGTCTTCTTTCAATCCAGCGTACTACTGCATCACTCTGCCTCTTACTGCTTCAGCTCGGACGTCTGCTCACTTACACAACTGCGTCGCAGAAAAAACACATTTCACGTGACCGCTACCTACTACTGACCTGTCGTGTAACCGCACCAGCGTGGCGTCAACCGGCCAGTTTATTGGTGCTCTGGATCTTACACGGCAACCGTGTTGTCACATCAACACATGCCACGTCATCGATAACCACTGCTGTCATGTCCCCTCAAGAGTAATCTGCCCGCGCGTTGCATAACAACGATCCGTGTACGGGCACGAAGAAACTATGGCGGCGTTTGTGTTCCGGACGTTGCGTGGAAGTTGGTCTATGTGTCACAACATATTGCATGCTTTCTCCTCGATTTGGAATTGAAAATTTATTATTTTCTTTACGTCTTTTGAAGTCAAATCTTTCTCATTAATTAAGATTTTATTATCGTCACCTTAGAGTGTTGGGCTCGGACTAACATGCTGGTGAATATAATTTCAGTCGATCAAATGAGCTTTAAGGAAATATTTCATTCTAGAGTCGAGTTCTTATATTGGGCCTATATGTCACATAAATCATATCGAATTGATGAATAATATTAGGCTGAATTTTACACAATGTAAAGACCACACGGAGCTATTAAACCATATGATTAGTAGGAGATGTGCAATTCACAGTGAAATAACTAACGTTAGGGGCACGCGGTAGCGTCGTTGGTTGAGGCACTATTCTACAGCCGGAAGGTTCTGGGTTCGAATTCCGATTAGGTGAATTTTTTATATTTACCTGATCTTTCCACCTGCTCTATTTCGCTGTGGTCGACTCAGACTGTAACAGAAACGCGTACCAAGAATCTTCCTGGGAGGTAAAGGGCGGCCGGTGCGTAACGCTCACAGCCTCGCCGCCATCTCTGAGCCGATTGTCTAGAGAGAACGTGAGAGCCTCGCCGTCTCACAACCCTATGGGCCTTCATGTCCTCTTACAGGGAATACTTTTATTTGTAACTACTATTAATTGTGCCATGAAAACGGCTAAAACAGAAGGTGTCAGATAGGAGGGAGATATTTGTGACTCATGTTAGCAGCGACTGATGTTTCATTTTTTCGAGGTCGTTACCCAATAATGGGTCTACACGCTACAATATCATCACTTGAAAAAAGGTCAAGGCAACTAAAAATATTTTTGCATAAAATTTATATTATAAAAGCATGAAACAATCTCAAGAAGGAAGAGAGTGCCCTTGTGGAGGCGAGGTCGAATACCTCCACCGTGACCTTGCGGGTCATAGGAGGCGACGAAAATGGAAGTCTCAATTATGAGACAGTAAAATATTGTCGCCAGTCCCAAGAGACTCGTACCCGAGAAAGACTGCGCTGGCAAGAGCCAGCAGCATATACAAAAGACAGACCCGTCCTCTCGTCAGAGAAGGCGCCCCACAGAAACAAGACCGTAACTGTCAAACGGTAATAATTAATATCTGGCCATGAGCCCCAGATGGCGCTCGACACAAAGACTTATTTACTGACTGACCGTCAGTCGCAATGTGACTTTGACTTTGAAGAAAGAAAAGTACATACGGCGCATGAATGCTAATATAAAGTTTATTTAGGGGAGAGAATTAGGTGTCCGAAACCATGGACGTGAATAGGAACCGATATGTAGGATTGGACATTCTCACAGCAGTGGTTATACTAACAAGTAGTATCTTGTGGGATGTAACTGCGCATAGTCCGCTGAAAGTCAACCTACGTTTCGGAGGAACATATCGCCTCCACCTGCAGGGTCGAGCTATTTGCTTGCTACCTGCTTCATGTGGGTTTCTTGCTTGGCTTATTCTCCTACCCTGAAAATGGATGCGACATTTTCTACCCGAAACTTCTGTTGCCTTTGAACGGACTACTGAGCAGTTTATCCCAGAAAACAGGATTCTTTAAGAATCAGTATGACTTCGGTCTCACATCCATTATGCTCTCTGCAAATGCTCATTTGTAGAAATATAGAGTAGCATTCCGACACAGAATAGAAAACTTTTTCAAAATGCTGTATAAAAAAATGTGCATTATTCGACATCATTGTGGAAAAAAGAAACATAATTTCCTTCAAAACTACTGGTATCTTTGCTGACATTTAAAGAAACTAGTTACAGAAACCAAGTTTTTGACACCAGACGTCATTTTCTTTGTCTCCTTTGACGCCTCTCAGAACACACGTGTAGGAACAGCAGCTTCTTAATGGTAGGAATTGCCTTAGGTTCGAATCTGAGTCTTATGTTACGATCGACGGTCAGTCGGTCAGTCGGTCAGTCTGTCTTGGAATAAAGCACCCATCTTGGGCTTGCGACCAAATTTTTATTACTGTCAGACAATTGCGGGTTTGTTGATGTGGGGCGCTCTCTCTGAAGAGAGGACGGGTCTGCCATTTACAATTGCTGCTGGTCCTTGGCAGCGCAGCCATTCTCGGGTTCGAGTCCTATTGGACTCGCGACCATATTTTACTTTCTCATATTCGAGAATTCCCTTTTCGTCGCCTTCTACGGCTCGCAGGGTTACAAACCCAGGCCGGCTAGACAGAATAACATGTACAATGTAAATACATTTTACTCGTACATTCTGCATTGTACACTGTAAAAGACAGACCCGTCCTCTAGTCAGAGAGGGCGCTCCTCATCAACAAACCCGTAACTGTCAGGTAGAAAGAAATGGTATTAAGTCCAAAATGTGTGCTTGACACCAAGAGAGACCGGCCGACTGACCGTCTGTCGTAACATCACTCTGTCTTTGACTAGGCAGAATCAGAGTCCAGTCAGAACTGAGTGAACCCTAGGCAGTCAAGAAAGAAAAGTTCGGCTGAAGATTTATTGAGTTATTGTAATTTATTGAGATTACGAGTGGATGTACAAGGAGTCCAATAAATCCGATAATCACATCCGTAACCCTGTTATTATTAGTCACGCAGCCATAAATGCTGTTATAGATCTATAAAAGTAGCCATCAAATGATGCACGCCGTTTACAGCGCCTGTCTAGGAAAAGACTTCCCTAAAATATAAAGTGCACTAAAAAATCCCCGTGTTCTCTTCCAATAAAAGGAGATATTCATGTGTTTTTTTATATGTTGCAGTGAACTTGGCGACATTCTCGTATGGAACTTGCGTAGGATGGCCTTCGTCAGCAATACCAACACTACAGTCCAGTGAAGTTCCTACGGGCAAGAACCCTGTGACTGAAGACGAGGCTTCATGGATAGGATCACTCATGTTTGTGGGGTTTCTATGTGGGACCCCTATATTTGGTTACATCTCAGATAAATTTGGTCGGAAAGTTGCTGGCTTATTGATAGCAGTTCCTGCCATTATCAGCTGGCTCGTCATCATCCTCTGTAGCAGTATACATCTCATTTTCGTAGCCAGGTTCCTCTCTGGTTTAAGCACCGGTGGCGTTCTACTTCTGGTTCCAATATACGTGGGCGAAATCTGCGAAGACAGCATCAGAGGAACTCTAGGGTCATATCTGGCAATATTCGGAAATATCGGCGTTCTTTTCTCTTATGTTATCGGTTCTTACACTTTATACCATGACTTCGCAATAATATGCCTCTCTCTACCTGTTCTATTTCTCGTCACGTTCTTGTGGATGCCCGAAACACCGATCTATTTGTTACGAAAGGGCGAAGTCAAAGAGGCTAAGAGATCCTTGGAATGGTTTCGTGGAGGGAAAGGAAAAGACCTTGAAGAAGAGCTGACCAAGATGTCACTCTCACTTAAGGAAATACAAGAAAGGAATTCCTGCAGGAGCTTGTATAAAGATCTGTTACTAGATCGAGGTGTGAGACGAGCCTTGATCATCGGCATTGCCGTATCTGCTACGCAAATGCTGTCAGGTGCCTATGTAATTCTCACCTACACTGCGCCTATTTTCCGCATGACCGGAAGTGAGCTATCGCCTCAAGTATCAAGTATGATAGTCGGCTCGCTTCTCGTGGCTGCGTCCATTTTGGCCTGTCCTCTGATGGACCGTGTTGGCCGGAAGGTTCTTCTCGTGTTCTCTGAAACTGTAATGGGGATTTGTCTCATTGCCCTGGGAGCTTACTTCTACTTGCAAGATCAAGGTGTCGACCTGACCAAAGCCGGCTTCATCCCAGTCGTGTGTTTGGGGTTGCATCTCTTCTCCTCCGCAGCAGGCATTGGGCCGGTGAATATGGTGCTCCTCTCAGAATTATTCCTACCACACGTCAGAAGCACATCGGCAAGTATCTCCACCTTCGTGATGGCATTCACGGCAATTGTTGTCACCAAGTTCTACAGTGATCTCAACAATGCCATTGGAATTTACGGCTCATATTGGTGCTTTGCCGTGTGCTGCTTCCTAGGCGCAATCTTTTCAGTAACTTATGTTCCAGAAACTAAAAACAGGGATGTATATAGTATTTATGCTGAGCTTAGTGGGAAAGAATCCAGCATAATACCGGTGAAGAAATCGTACAATATGCGGGACACACCAAAGGAGTACAGAGTGCAGGGAATCTTACCGAACGCCAAATCACCATCATCCGAACACGATATATGTGCCCATTAAAGATGTACAGGATACTTAAAAATATTATAAAATGTATCAAATTTGTATAAATCGTTCGTTTCTTTATTCTAAAATCCCATAAATTTGGACTTAATTCACTAACCCGTTAAAATTTATTTCACTTTTAATCTTCACTAAATATACGCGAGATCTGACCGGAGCTCGTCACCACGTACATTATAGTAGATGGAAAAACGTGTAAAAAATAGTACCATTAGTTTAAGAATATTTTACAGTTATAATTTCTGATTTTAGGAATAATGTTGCAAAATTACATTTACATTCACTACAGGGTTCAAAAGGAATTAATAATAATATATTGAGACTTTGGCTTTTATTCGATTTTAAAGTTATTAATTGTAGAAGTGCGGGAACATTGAAAACAGTTACAAAGTAGTGTAACAAAAACTGTAAAGAGTTTACTGTTGAGCGGGTCTTTTCTCATAGGTTCTTTTAGTCACTATTCTTCCTTTTCAACGATAAGTTGCTTTTGGCATCGTGATGCGTGAAAAACACAAAGTAACAAAGGGAAATGTAGCTTCGCTTAACCCACAACTGTATAACGCGTCAACTAAAGCGTCAGTTATGGCGTTGGTCCGCTCATGTGGGACTACTGAACCGCTCAAGGCAGCCAACTTATGGAAAACTACAGTGTTGGCAACTCTAATTCTTCTCAAAAAGTATTTCAATAATCGAAATGAATAAAACTGGATTCATATTTTTCATAAATATAAGAAATAGCAACCATTTTATTTCTATTAAAACGTAATTTACTACTTTGTATAAATAAAATAATTTAATTCAAATCCAACAACTTTTTGTCAGATTCGATTCAGAGAGTATTCAGTCTCAAAAGTTGTATTATAATGAGTGGCATAATTGATAAGTTTAGACAAAAAAGTGACAAAAATATTTCCACATTAAAATTTAGGACTTATCATTTACATCGCTTCTGACATTACTCAACATAAGAAAAGTGCAGATATTCGTTAAATTGAAATTTAAGCTACTTTTAAAATCTAAAAGTTTCTGACGATGGTAAATTATTACAATTAATGTGCTGCTGGACATTATCCATCATCTTGTCTATTCTTAAAAAACCCGTCCTGTTCTTTTAGAAACAACGTTTCGGGGACTGGATTCTGTCCTCGTCTTCAGGCAAAACCTATTCAGTTGGGTCCAATAGACAGAGCTAGTCCCTACCTCCCCCTTTATAAAGTGAAATGTGCAAAATATTCCTTTTAGCTTTCGGTTTAATGGCGACAATTAATGGACACTCAGAGTGAGGAATATGAAATCTGGTATTGAGGCAGATCATGAACATGACTACAAATTGCGTACGAAATATCGTCAAAAAATATAGACAAGTTAGATTCAAAGTCCTCACAGCAACGGCAAAGAAGGGAGCAGTGCTCCGGGTTCTGACACCGTATATTTCGGTGAAGGCGCCTTCACCTTCAGCATCTTTGCTTCTGTGGTTTCTAGCTTGGCTTACTCTTCGGTGCTGAAGATGAAGGCAATAGTATGCTCCGAAAAGTAGGTCTCTCTCCGAATTACATGGAGCTACAAGCAAGAGAACAGTACCACTCAATTACAAATGTTGTCACGTCTTAGGGTTGTGATTATAAGACGGTATATGGATTGGATAAATTGGATTTTATGAGACCTTATACACACTGACAGCCGGTCACGATAGCCGAGCGGTCTAAGGCATGTACTGTCTTCGCTCGCTTGGAAACCGGGATCTTGGGTTCGAATCCCACTCAGGGCATGGATGTTTAGTTTGTATGTGTGCGTTTTTCTGTGTTTGTGTACAGGTAGAGGCCTTGCGACGAGCTGATCACCCGCCCAGGGAGTCCTACCGAATGTGTAAGATCGAGAAAAACCGAAGTAAACGGAGAAGTTCACGGAGGTAGGCCTAGGCCCGCTGGGGCTGTAGAGCCAAGGAAAAAAAATACACACTGACAACTGACTTATTACTACTGACTGTGACTCTGGCAAACGGCAGACCCGTCCTCTCGTCAGAGAGAGCGCCCCACACCAACAAAGCCGCAAACGTCTGACAGTAAGCCCCAGATGGGTGCTTTATTCCAAGACACACTGGCCGACTGACCGTCGCTGGCAGAGTAGGAGTACAGAAAGGTCAATATAACCGAAGTCAGCCGTCGCAGAAGGAATTTCACTGTGCCAAGAAGACTTAGTCTGTTACTAACTTCGTTAAATAAACTAGACATTAATAAATAATTACATTGCCGGTATACAAATGTAGAACCGTGGAATATTATGAGGATTTAGTTTTGCAGTGCTGTAACTATGAAGATTAGCATCGCCCTAGACGTGACTTTGTGTTGTCTGGCAAGTCGTTGCTAACGGTTCGAAGTGACCCTCTGCTTTCATCTTCGGAGTAGAAAGGCACTGCTCCTGTTCTGCCCTGAATACAGATGCACTAGGTTCCTCCGAAACTTTGGTAAAGATCTACGGGCATATACAACACATCACCCAAAAGACTACGATATGAATCTTCACAGCTGCATAAACCTCAAATCCCATATAAGCAACCCTTATGGGGAGACAACGTAAATTCAGTTAAGTGCTTTTGCGTCACATTCAATAAGTGTAGACAGACAGCTAGGACATTTTGAGCATAGGATAGCACCACCAATGACTTCAGAGAAACTGTCACTTTGCCTTACGTTAGCTGCAACTGGAATATTGCTTAATTAATTAAGCATAGGGATAAGTTTATCCATACATTTTACCTTTATGATAATAATATCGGGACATGTTTCAACTCATGTGAGGTTATACTAAGGCGCAGTTCGTTGAGGCATTATGCTAGAACCCGGAAGGTCGCGAGTTCGATTTCCGATGGGATAATTGGAGTGTTTCAATTTACCTAATCCTGCACCATGTCCCAGGGGACGACTCAGCCTCTTGAGTACCAGGAATTTTCCTGGGAGTAAAGGGCGGCCGGCGCGTAGGCTGAGAACTTCATCGCCAACTGTGAGCCGACTGTCTAGAAAATGTGGGAGCCCACACATGTCACAATTTTATGGGCCTCCAGGACCAGTTACGTAGGCCACACACCGGCATGCGTCAAGACATGTAACAGTCAAGACACGATGTCTGTGACATGACGCAAAGAAAGGAGCACAGTTGAAAGGAATGAGATTATGAAAACCGTCGCACACCGGTCTGAGTCATGACGCTGACATTAGCTTCATGCTGACGAATCACGAGTGAATCAAGACTGCGTCTTTTGTCTCATGTCTTGATGCTTGTCTTGACGCAGTTGGTGTGCGGACGCCTTTACAGGGAGAACTTCACCTACTTCACCTCATATCGAATACCAAGTTTCAACTCATTCTGTATTAAGTTGTGTAATTTTGAATAAGTTTACATGAAGGAAGTGCATAAATGTAAACCGACAGTCATCTGAAGGCTACTTGTCAGCCTGGCCTGTAATCCGTGAGACCTTACGTTCTCTCTAATAACTTCTGAACCAACCGATCGACTTTTATAAAACTTAGTATGTGCATCGCACCATTAACAGCCAGTCCAACTTTGTTCATCCTAAGTTCTTAACACCAGTAAGCCCAACGTGGAAACCAACAAATTCATACGGTAAGTATGATATAATGCAACTTAATGCAAGTTAGGTCCTGGAACGGGGTCAGAGCTTCTCGTTAATGTTAGAAAGGTGAAAGTGCTTCTAATCTCTGCAGCAACAGCGACTATCTCGAGGCTTTCCTCACTTCCTCAAGCAAAACTCCGCGAAACTGCTGCGTCCAACCTTATCCCTTCCGTTATTTACCGATCACTTCACGCTCTTAATTACGAGTAATTAAGCGGTATGCCATGAAGACATCTGGGGAAGTGGAGGTATAGATCCACCAATCTTAACCCAGATAATAGATGGAGGTGAGTGTTCATATTCACGCCCCAATCACTTTATCGCCCGCCCCACGGGAAAGAGACCCCATTACCCACTGAATAGGAGGCTGGGTGAGCCTCCTTGGACGTTGTGGATTACAGAAAAATCTTGCCCCTCCCAGGAATAGACCTCTAGTCTCCAGCCCGTAGCCTGCCACTATACAGACTGAGCTATCCCAGCTCCTGTTAAGATAAATGTTTGATATATTATGTAACACGAAATCATAGCAGCTGTGTGTATTTATATAGTTAGCTTTCCGTTTTATTCGGATAACTACCGTTCTTCCGAAGCTAGGCAAGGGAAATGCTATAACGGAAATGGCTCATACTTACAAAACATGTCTATATGAAACATTCCCTCTTTGAGCAATTACGAACATGGCGACGGTACGAATGTTTGAAGTTATGACGGTACAATACTGTCACGTGTTAGAGTGATTCTCGACGCGGTTTTGGATTGGATATTGGATTTATTGACCACTTATGCACACAACTCGTAATCACGCTTAATTATAGCGCGGCCGCTGACTTCCACATTTTACAGATAACTACAACACACGCTAAGTTTTCTCCCAACACTGACGTTCCTCTGTTCCCTGGCTCACTTCCTTGCAGGCTGGTGGCCATCTCACACGAATATCCTACTCTTCTAACTCCCGTCTCAAGACTTACTCATAGTCAGTCAGACAAAGCCAGAGTCAGAGTTATTTTACGACTGGCGGTTTACCGCCCATCAGTTCGTCAACTGAACACTTGCGGTTATAGTCCTTATGTGACATCCTCTGTGACGAGAGGATAGGTCTGTCGTTTACAATTGCTGCTGGCCCTCGCCAGCGCAGTCATTCTCGTGCCACAGTTCCGCGGGACTCATGACCGTATTTTACTGTTTTACATTCGACACTCCCGCACTTGGTGGGCCAGGTCCCCGTATTTATATCCTCCAGGAACAGAGTGGCCCAGTTATACCTCCAGGCACAGGGTTCCCTTTTCGTCGCCTCCTACGACTCGCAGGACTACAGTGGAGGTATTCGACTCCGCCTCCACACGGGGAAGAACTAAGCTCTAAATTCTGTCCTGCTCATAGCCTCTCGACACAGACCAACAGAAAACAGATCTCTTCTATTGCTGTATGCATGTATGTCGTGGGCGTTGCCTAGCAACAGTCGCTGTTACGTTATCTGTTTCGCGGCCGCCGCCTACAAACGAATGTTATTTCAGAGCCGTTCCCTAGCAACTGCTGTTTCTCTGGCTTCACAGTTCTTGCTTTGAGCAAATGTGCCACAATATTGCATAGTCGGAATCCCGGTACTGGCAATCTCAATATGCATGCAGGCTGAAGCACGAGTAATGCGGTCTTCCCCGAACTTGTTTCTCGCCTTTCATGGGAGGCAGGAGCCTTCATGGTACAGGTAAAGCCCCTGTGTCTGCCAGGAGGACGTACACGCAGTGGAAGAACAACTGAACGCAATTTTACTCAGGCACTATATGGAGGTGAGTTATAAGCTTCAAGCCCCGGCCGGTTTGCCCCCTGTACACACTGGGTAGGATGCTGATGGGCCTCACAACCGATCTAGATGTTGTGTAGAAGAGAATAAAATTATTTTTATCGAGAATCGAACCCCGATCCCTCGGTAGTCCAGACCGTAACCTCGACACTATCCTGGCTTGCGGCACAGCGCTAACTGTGCTTTGAGTTCATGACAACGGTGAATTTTATCGCTATCAGAAGTGAATAATAAATTACGGACTCGGCGTATCTCGCGGGATGTAGAAAAGATTTACTGCGAGCAACACAGAACGGCGCTCGGGGGAAGAAGCTACTGTACTGTAACACAGCTTGTCTAACTGTCAAGGGGTTTTAAGTCATATATCCTTCGGTAATGTGAGCGCGTAACCAAACTAGCATGAGATCCAGTGCACGTAGTCCCGGTACAAGGCAACAACTATACGGCGGCCGTTACTAGGCAGGGGACCGTAAACAGCAACAGAGGGAATTTTCTGTGCGGTTCGTGGCAAGATTTTATAAGCAAGGCAAGTTAGGAGTCAGTCAGTCAGTTACGGTCAAAGAACCGCCAGGCTTCTGTCGTTGTGAGCTGTGGAACCCAAAGGTTCATTACCGTACTCACAATGGCCCTATACTGGTCCATATCCTGAGCCAGATCAATCCAGTTCATACCATCCCATTCTAGTAGTCCTGTAAGACCCATTTTAATATTATTAACACACATAAGTCTTGGCCTTCCAAGTAGTTCTTTCTTTTCAGCTTTCCCGCCAATATCATATATGCATTCCTCTTCGGCCCAATTCGTGCTACATGCCCTGCCCATTTTATTCTTCTTGACTTCATCATTCTAATTGTATTCGGCGAGGAGTACGGGTTATGAAGCTCCTCATTGTGTAGTTTTCTCCAACCTCCTGTAATTTCATCTCTCTTCGGTCCAAATATTCTCCTCAACACCCTGTTCTCAAACACCCTCGGTTTACGTTCCTCCCTTAAAGTCAGAGACAAAGTTTCCCACGCATACAGAACCAAGGGCAAATTTATACTCTTGCATATTGTAAATTTTACGTTTTACACAGCAGACGAAAAGACAAAAAGTTCTGGTCTGAACTTGATATGCATTCCAAGTTTCATAAGGATCGGTTCAGGAATTCAAAACTTGATATGATAGATACGAAGACATACAGACAGCAACGTTATCTCATAAGCATACTTTTATTTTTCAAAATAAGGAAATGGGCTACGAATGAAAGACATAAGAGAAGGCGGGAAGAATGACTGAAAACGGAAGGGAAATAAAGAGAACCTTACCAATCGTGGCAATAGGCCACTGCTTCATACTCTGCACAAAAAACTGTACCCTGACGTCTGCAAGTTGGGGCTTCGTTTCTGAGTGGGCAAGTTAGTTCAGTTTGTGGGAAATGTACACAGATCTAACAACAGTTACGCGCCCTCTCGCCTTTGCTTAATTATCTCGAAAACCGCAAAGCAAATGGAGTGTGTTCTGGACATAAAATATGTATTTCGTTTTTCCTACGCCACTTTCGTTTGAAGCCATTTTTGCTCAAATAAATATTTTGCGAGTTCCACTCGAGAGGTGGGCAGAAACCCGTGCAGTTACTCAAGTGCAGTGCCCATTACTATTCTAGTTCCGTAGTTCACTTTATGGCGCCGTCAGCATGTAGATTACACATGTCGAATTTTGGGATAACTGCTGAAAGATTAATTTGGAAGGAAGCGGTCATGGCCTACTCAAGCTACTACTCCGGAATGTTTCTACAAGAACTAGGGAAACCCAAGGAAAACACAATGAGAAAAGATTCGCAGTTACTTTACGACTGGCTGTTTACAGCCAATCAGTTCGTCTTGGCGCCAAGCCCTTTTAGACTCACGACCAGCAATTTTCTTAACTAAATCTTTATGGTCGAAGTTCTTATGTAAAGTCCTCTCTGATGATAGGATAAGTTTGTAATTAATAATCGCTGCTGGCCCTCACCCGGGTCCGAGTCCCGCGAGGCTCATGACCACATTTTACTGCTTCAAATTCGAGACTCCCCCCCAACTTGGAGGGCCAGGTCCCCGTATTTATATTCCCCAGGAACAGGGTGATCCAGTTATACCCCCAGGCACTGGGTTCACATTCCGTCGCCTCCTACGTCTCCTAGGGCTACGGTGCAGCTATTCGACCCCGCTTCCGCACGGGCTAGACTCAGTGAGAACAGCCATGTTTCGGTCAAATTTCCATCGGTGCACGTCATAATACAAGTACAGAGCGTCAACGCTACACTAACCTGCTCAGCGTTTGTTACTATTGCGATATTTTAACCAAATTGTTCGTGTGTCGACATCATCATCATCATCTGTAATCTGTCAAGACAGGTCCACAGTCTCTTCCAAAACAGTTCCTCCACTTGATGCGATCGTGTCGACATATTTGAGCACAACTGCGATCTGATATCAAGGAAGTCTGTCACATGCCAAACTAAACAGACAGGTGCATTTTTGCAGTTTTCCTTGCAAACGAGTTAATATATGAACTAAATATTGAAATTTATGTTTATAACAATATTGAGATATGAGACTCGTACTTACGCAACATGCTACGTTGAAATATTATCCGCTGTTGGGATCTGCAAATAAAATGATCGCCAGCTAAAGAAATTGCCTTGAAAGAAGACAAATTTCAGGCTGTTTTCCTTTCGAATAAGTAATTAAAGTTGTTCTATAGGCGTCAATCCCTTACCAAGGAGGGACAAGTTTGTTAAAATAAACAGACATTCAGTAGAAGGAATTACAAACGAAAGGAGGAGACTACGATGAATCTTCCCTTACAATAAAGAAACACTGAGTTCAGATACAATTGTTCACTGCTGGGAAGGTGTTATTCAAATCTGCGAGAATTCAAAACGATACAGGCTTTCTCAATGAATACAAAATCAGTATTCAGGCTCGGCTGTTGTTAGAAGTACGAGATATATCCGGAAAGTAGAGATACAAGTCCAGTAAAAATGCAAGGGATTTCTTTTTTCTTTCCAGAAATGGCAGTGCTGCCGTGTGAGATAGGAACCGCATGGCAGGGCAGAGTTCCCCGGCCACAGTCACGGCAACGTTGTGCTCGCAGCGTGTGTTTAAAATGGCCGTGTAGATTCAAAATTCTGCCAATCTGAGGTTGGCGGAGTAAATCAATTTCTTGACCGCGCCATAGCTCAAGCGGTTAGTCGCTGGCTTCCCACAGCGGCGGCCCGGGTTCGATCCCGGGTCGGGTCAAGTGGGATTTGTGGTGGACAAAGTGGCGCTGGGGCAGGTTTTCTTCAAGCACTTCGGTTTCCCCTGCCAATCTTCATCCCACTAATTGCTCCACAATCGCCCTCACCTACCATCTGGGGCTGGTACAACAGGCCAGAAGTGGCCGCAGTACAAGGGACTTAGTCCCACCCCACTAGCATGAAAAAAAATCCATTTCTTGACGCGAAAGGAGAAACCGCTGCTGAAATTCACCGCCAACCTGTTTCTGTTAACGGCGAAGATGTAATGAACAGGCAAAACGTGGCAAAATGGTATCTTGAATTTGAAGCGGGAAGAACTGATGTTCATGATGAAGGCCATCCGTTGTCTCTGATGAAATCATCAAAAAAATTGATGAAAACATTCGTGCTCACAGATGTTTAACCATTGATGAACTTCATGAACAATGTCGAGAAGTGTCAAGAGCTGTTCTCCATGGCTAAGAGAGAAGGCGGGAGATTTCTACGACTCTGGAATAAAAAAAACTCGTTCCCAGGCTCAGTGAGTGCATTGCGACACAAGGACACAAGGAAGAAGGTGTGCGCTGTCGGAAAACAGAAGAAAACAGCGAACCTTCGCCGCAATTAAAATTTTAAATCATACGTACGTGAATATTAAGAGTTTTAAGTCTTGATAAGATACACGAGCTTCCATAGGAAAATGTCGAAGGGACTCGTACAATGAATCGGTTCCAAGGAATTGATACTGACTTGGTTGTTTCATTTCTAACGAAAACTATATATAAATTTGATCAGAGGCAAGCTCAAGACTCCTGGATACAAGCCAGCTGTGCTACCCCTGAACTAATTTACTTGTTCCTCGTAGGTAATAAACTTCTGAAATGAAATTGCAATTTTTTACAGACACAAGGACCTACAATAAATACATGCACTCCGACGTGACAAATCCTCTACGACATTCTATTGTGGCGAACTTACGTAACAGCTGAGTTCATTTCATGGAATCACAGGTCTCAACTTCAGTGAGATATACTGCTGGTTCTTCTCTCTGCAGAGGGGCTCCTTGCAACGACACGGTATACATATATGTGTGTGTAGATTCATACGCCTTTTCGTAAGAGCCACTCACCGATGGATAATTGTAAAGCTACAACAGAGAATAAGGATGCGCCGACTAACGACACGGAATCAAATACTTCACTGTCAGGGAGCAGGAAACTGACACAGTATACAGCAGCAATAATAGGTAAGTAAAATAGAAAAACGGCAAAGCTATCCCTGCAACAGGCCGTGGATGCCCAAAGGGTAGTGAGACGTCGAGTCTCCTACATTTTCTAGACAATCGCCTCACAGATTGCGGTCAGGTTGTTAGCCTTACGCGCCGACCGCCCTTTACCCCCAGGAACATTCCTGATACTAGTTTCTGTCAGAGGCTGAGACGACCCCAGGGACATAGTGCGACTGGAATGATTAGGCCAACTGAAAACTTCAATGACCACATCGAGAATTGAACCCGCGACCTTCCAGCTTGTAACATAGTGTCTCAAGCAACTATGCTACCGCGTAGAATTCCCTATATAAGCACGTGTTATTATGGTCTCACTTCTGTGCTGACAATTAAAACTTAATGTCATAATGAGACTGTATTTAATCTGAAACAGTAACAAATAAAGATTTTTCGCTGAACATTCAACGGGAATTACTCAAGTAGTAACCTATTCAGTACTGACCTCGGAATGGGACTACAGTATTTTTTATTTATAAGCCAATTTCATGTTGTTGAGGGATTACTGTGTATGTAACCCATTTTAGTCAGTTCTGAAATATGCTTCACATTCCGCTGCAGCAGTTTACTTCCAGGACTGAAATATTCAAAGATTATATTTTACCACGTCTGGAAAAGACCAAAAGTTTCACTTAGTAACTAAGTGCTTTAGCGTGGTAGTCTAGAGAGAAATGTCAGCTTCCAACGTGGTAATATTTTGTAGGCATTTATTACTTCACTTCATCTACAGCCAGGACGAATAGACCTGCACAAACATGTTAAACAAATAACACAATAAAACAGACGCCATTAGAAGCCGATAACAGCACAGCTCCATAAATTAAGGGACATGAAGTTTCAAAAGAGCTCGCAACTGGATCACGTGGTATGTCCATTCTATTCAATCCACGCCATATTGTTTTAAGATTTATTTCCAAATTACTGCGGAATATAGACCCGTTTCTAGGCAACCACCGGGAAGCAATGAGACAACGGTCACTGCTAGACAACAGCTTCGTAAATGGGAAGCAGTAATGGAGCCGTTGTTAAGCAACGGCCAGAGCACAACACTTGAAGTACTGTTGGAAGCGGTTTCTATTAACTATTAACATTAAACTATTCTGGGATGTGACACCTGTTGTTTGGTACACAGGTACCAACGCACTATCTCCATCTTTTGAGTCCGTCTTGAAGATAAGAGGCAGGAAGATTCTCCGAAATGTTGAGCTTCCCACGCTTTATCATCCACTAGTACGGGTTGCCGCTACACCTGTTCCGCCATCGTTCGCCATCAGCACTCGGTCCACACAGTATCTACCAAACTCCACCGCGTCATATCCGAGAAGACAGCAAATTTAATACTCACGAGAGCGAGAATCTCAAATCTCATGTTACGTCTAATATTCTTGTTTCCTTCCACAGTGAACATCGCGGCTTTGAGCAGCGGCTCAGTCGTAGGCTGGTCGGCTCCCATGCTACCGGTCCTTCAGTCAGATGCCTCCCCCACAGGAGAGCCCATTTCCAACGAGGTGGGATCCTGGCTGGGCTCTCTCATGTGCCTCGGCGGCCTGCTAGCCACTCCACTATACCTCTTCATCTCAGACCACTGCAGGCGGAAAACTACGGGCTATCTCGTCGCGGTGCCCTTCATCGTCAGTTGGGTTCTTATCATCATTGCCAACTCAGTCATCATCCTCTGCATCGCTCGCTTCACGGGAGGCATGGGGTCAGGAGCCATCATAGTGTTTGCCTCTCTGTACGTAAGCGAGACGGCTCAAGACAGCGTCAGGGGGGCTTTAGGAAGTTACCTTACTCTTTTCACCAATGCTGGAGTACTCTTCTCGTACGTCATAGGATCTTATGTGTCTTACTACACTTTTGCATATACAGCACTCGTAATTCCAGTTCTGTATATTGCAGGTTTAATGTGGCTTCCAGAAACACCCAACTATCTCGTCAACAGAGGCAATTATACCCAGGCGAAACGAAGCTTGCGGTGGCTGAGAGGAGAGGATGACAGACTCGTTGAGATCGAATTAACCAAATTAATCTCATTTGTCAGGGACCGGGCAGAAACGCCGTCCCTGAAGGACATGCTGTCTGCGGCAGGAACTCGCAGAGCGCTCACTGTCGGCATCATCCTGGTGGCGAATCTGCAGTTCTGCGGTATTTTCGCGATACTCAGCTACACAGTGACTATCTTCCGAGAGGCAGGCAGTGACCTGTCTCCGAACGCTTCAACTATTTTGATTGGTGCCCTACAGCTCGCCGGTTCCTGCGTTTCGTCTCTTCTGATAGACAAAGCCGGACGCAAAATACTTCTCCTAGTCTCAAACGCATGTATGGCGATATGTCTGGCTGCACTGGGTGGATATTTCTTCTTCAAGTTTCAAGGATCAGATGTCAGTAACTTCGGATGGTTACCGGTGAGCTCTCTGTCCGTTTACATCGCAGCAATAGCCCTTGGCGTGGCCCCTATAACGTTCCTCATGGTATCCGAGATATTTGAACCACAAGTTAAAAGCAGGGCCATCACAATAATTATATCAGTCATGTGGCTGTTAACGTTCTTAATAGGCAAATTCTACACAAATCTGTCCGACCTACTCGGAATTCACGGCTGCTATTGGCTGTTCTCTGCCTGCTGCGTACTCGGCGCAATGTTTACAATCATTCTGGTTCCAGAAACGAAAAACAGAAGTTACGAATCCATACTCCTCGAACTCAGTGGGGGAAACGAAAGAAAGAAACTTAACTTTGCTCGAAATGAGGTTGACACGTTTTGAGAAGGCATTTTGAGTTTTGCAATAGCATAACACAGAACTTAGCTGAAGTAACTCGCTTCGGGAACTGTGTATGGATGCGATAACTGGGAGTTGGCTGTGAGACAAAATCAATCCCATTCCAGAACTAAAGCAGAAAAGTTACGTTTACTGTGTACAGGATGACTGCATCCTTGAAAGAGAACCCCGTAATTTCGAAAAAAAAAAAAAAAAAGTAACATTAATAAATGAACAATTCCAGGTTTTATAAACAAAAATCGAATTCATATTTAAATTATCTAACACTCTAAAAGTTTATGAAAATTACAAAATATTGTGCATACGTCGCAGGTCTTTATGCTCATACACTGCACGCGCAGATCTTATGTTAGTAGGATAACAGAACTAAGAAAGATGCACTAAAAAAATAAGGAGCTAGAAATTGCCTCTGGCACATTTCTCTAAATTTTCAACATACTGAAACACAACCCCAATGAGACAAGGATAACTCTCTCATGACAAAAATGTCATGAATTATGTGTCTTTTGTTTCAGAAATCCGTACACGTCGATTTGACGTTCAGGTAAAGGAGAACTTTTATTGTAAGCTCTGAGGCTTTCACGGCCGTGACTATGAAGAATGCAGTCTTCTGGGATCTGAATGCCGAGTAGATGTAGTGTAAACCGACGTTTCGAGGAAGGTATCGCCTCCAACTTCAGGGTATAAGAAATCCGCGAAATCTGCCGCCACCCGCTCACTCTGGTTCCTCGTTCACGGGTTTCTTATATCTTGAAGATGGAGGCGATATGTTCCTCCGAAACGTCGGTTAACACAATATCTACACGATGCCACAATTCAGAAAACGGCATTCTTCATAGAACTTATACTGAACAGACATGAATCAAAACCAAACCGACGTAACAAATTCCCCTCCCAATTCCAGTATCAAGTTGCATTGAAGTTCACAGATCAGTTCGAAGATAATCACCCAGAGAGATGGAGGGGGGAGGGGGGGGAGAGAGAGAGAGAGAGACAATCATCCAATTATGCGTTCAATTTTCGAAGGACTCATACGAAGTGTTAAAGTGTTCGCCGACTGTTCTCACTAAGCGCAGGGCTACAGCCGGGTTCCGGCGCCCTCCGAGCTACATGTAGGCCTCCTTATAAACCAAGATTCCGTACACAAGAGCGGCTATTGCGGCAGAAGCTACGGTTATTTGAACCTCGATAAAATTACATTTCCAAATTCAAGCAACAATCCGAAATGAAGTGAAGTGAGATGTACACATACTCCAGTTCCAAGCCTCTCTGATCCATTCTGAACGCACCTTGGTACGTAAACAACCAAAGGATCCATGAAGATCTACATATGGACACAGGGCTCAGTAGAATACCAAATACTTAAGAAAATGAGAAAACCACACTAATGAACTCGCACTGAACCTACTGGACAATAGCGAAACTACACATAGACTGAAAAGATACACCGTCCTAACTGCACCAGACACACCTGAGTAAAACCCCAATACAAGAATTAAAACGATACCTAAGTGAACGAAAAACAGTATATGAGTTACGCCACTGGGCATAACTCATTCATGAACCAGTACTTATTGAACATATACATTTACGGCACATTCTGCAGATTATGTATGATAAATGTGTGGGGGGAAATAGTGTGTCTGCAAAACGTTGCATGCCAATATTTCAAGAACATTCAGGTTCGCCCCGCGGTAAGAGGATTCCATGCATGGCGGGGTTAAACTGACAGGCGGCAACGGAAATATTATGTTAAATAACATTGTCACGTGTATGAGTGAATATAGACGGGGTTTGGATCAGTTGACAACTTGTACACTCACAACTCGTGACTACGCCTAACATATCACTCACACACACAAACGCGTGTCCTCAGATTATTATAGACTCCATTAGCCATTTCCTGGCAACAGATTTTAACACAGAAGCTCTAACAGTCTCACTGAAAGACACCCTGCAAATAGTGCATCACATAAACTCTTCTCTTCACAGCTGGGATTTCAGCGCTCTTACAACTAACCCGCGGCCATTTCACTTCAACTGCCTAGTCTCCTTTCACCGCCTGACTATCAACTCACTAAGCTCAAGTCAAACCATAGTCACAGTTACATTACGACTAGCGTTTTACCGCCAATCAGTTTGCTTTGGTGTCAAGCCCCTAGAGATCATATGTTCGAATGCGACTTCTTTCAGAAGAAAAAAAGGAAATAAACAGGTTGAAAATAAAACACAATACTAACACAAACTCCGTGGCCTGTAGTTAGCATGGCTACAAATCTAGAGGTCCAGGGTTCGATTCCCGGCGCTGCAAGATTTTCTGAGAAGTAGTGAGTCTGGAACGGGGTCCACTCAGCCTCGAGAGAATAACTGAGGAGCTATTTCACGGAAATGGCGGCTGCGGTCTATAAAACCGAGATTAACGGCCGTGGGGATCCGTTGCCCTGACCACGCGACACCCTCTATTCGCTAAAGCGAGCACTAACTTCGCCGATAAGCAACGGTCGCTCGGTCGGTACAATACTAAAGCAAGGAAAAGAAAACAATCCGACGTGGATAAAATTCAGAAAACATTTCGCGGCCACCCTGATCGGCGCCATTCTCTATAATTTTGAATAAACACTGATCTACTGCTTGATAGGATGAAACGCGATTTTGGGGCAATTAAGTTGATAGACGTCAAAACTGGGCCAAAAAGACGACATGTAAACACCGCACTTACTCTTGTGTAATTGCTGACTGATTTAGAGCGCTGGATAATAAATCAATTATAACAGGTGGACAGTATTATTGTTCTGTAAGTTCGGATGCAACAGCAATTTGAAATGTAAACACAACGATTGCCATTCGTTGCTATAGAGCCATGTATCGTGGAATTGTACCAGAGATAGTTGTGACGCAGACGAAGCTACGTGTTCCACACTCCAAACGCTGAAATACAACATGCGCGTATATACCGACTGCGCTGCTCAAGTAATCTGAACTCAAGTATGATCTATCTATGGCTTTGCAGAGCTTTGTTGGCTCTTGGCCGCTTTTCAGTCTCCTGATCTTTTTACACAGTCGGTATGACTCCTTGCAGGGGGATCAGCCCTCGCAAGGCCGCTATCTGCACACAGGAGAGCACAAACACAGAATAGACGCACGGACATCCATGCTTCAAGTAGAATTCGAACCCACGATTCCAGTGTTCGAGTGGGCGAAGACAGTTCATGCCTTAGACTGCGTGGCCGGTCACTGTGGTCCGCAAGTCATGTTTAATATCAGCAGGAAAATATCTGAACGCAATCGGAATGAAGTGCTTATTTCTGCTCTAATTTAGTTAACAACACTATAAATCGAATCATTTAGCCTTATGCGAACTGCGAATAATTAATTGGAACGGATAAGGAAGGAAGCGATAGTAGCCCAATACATGATAATGTAGCATGCAGACCCGTTGTTACGTAATGACTCTGTAAAGCACGCCCGTTACTGGGTCAACAGATTCCTAACATGCGCCAATTGACTGGCAGGAAAGTGATGTTTTCTGCGCGGTGCGCGCCATGGATGCGCACGCAACAATGGATACAGCAACAAAGGAACGGAGTTTTCTATGTGGTCCTTGTCTAGATGTTATACGCAGAACAGTCAACTGAGTACAGTGGACCCTGTGTGGAGGTGGGGTCGAATACCTCCACCGTGACCTTGCGGGTCGTAGGAGGCGACGAAAAGGGAAGTCTCAAATTTAAGACAGCAAAATATGGTCGCGAGTCCCAAGAGACTCGGGCCCGAGAGACTGTGCTGGCAAGGGCCAGCAGCATGTACAAAAGATAGACCCGACCTATCGTTACAGATTGCGCCCCATAAAAGCAAGACTGTAACTGTCAAACAGTAATAAATATTTGGTCATGAGCCCCAGGTGGGGCTCGACACCAAGACTTACTGACTGACAAGTCAGTCGCAATGTGACTTTGACTTTGAGTACAGTGGAGCGAGTTTGTTGGTGAATGAGTCAGAGGTCCGCTGCGGTTCAGTCGTTGTGAGCTACTGCTGTGAGATGCTGGTAGCTGAGGCCGGGAACAGTTCGGGAACCCAGAGGAAGGGGAACGTCCGCTGTTGGAAGCCGCCACCAGATAAAGACTGGTGAAGACAGCAGATTTATAAGACTCGATATGTACTGTAGTGAATTGCTGAGTGTTTGAATTAGCGATAGCTCCATGGTTACTTGTAGTTAGGGTCTGTAAGTGTTCAATAAATCCAATTACCAAACCAAACACCGTCTACAGTCTGTCACACACGTGAAAGGCATTCGTCTGGAGGGACTGAAAAAAAGACTACGACATTCGTAGCTGTTGGTGCTGTGGACGGAATTTGGACGAGGCATCTCCTGCTTACAGCATAGAAGTGTTGCCCCTTCAGCCGCTTGTCCCTGCAGGATGACGCGGCCAATAAAAGACATTATGCAGGAAAAAAACTTCGGGATTTGGACAGGTCAGCTAGCCCTATAACTAAAAAAGTTGGTTCGATTAGGACATAGGAAGTACCCAGTTCACATCTCAGTCGAGACATCGGGGTATTCTGCTTGCGTTTTCTGGTGGTTTTCACTTCCTCCAGCCAAATTCCTGGATAGTACTTCAAATTAGGCCATTATCGCTTTCTTTCTAATTCCTTACATTTCATCATTCACTAATCATCTTATCACACGACACTAAACACCCTGAGCTACTGACATCGTTAAATAAAACATTAAGGAAAACAACTAGCCCTGTTTTAGGACAGAGAATCACTGGAGGCTATGATAGGCCAAGCTCTGAAGACAGACAATAACTGTATACAGAATGATCTTCATAGGACCTTTCCAAAAAAAACTTCGAGGCAGAGAAACAGATGGAAGGCTGCGAGAATTGTGCCTGGACAGAACTAGGCCTGCTCCATGTCCAGTGTCAGGGTATAGGGCCTGGAAAACCTGATACTGCGTAGTTCGACACAGATTCGAACGGAATACTTCCGGAATACATGTCTAAGGGCTGGAACACACACAGCGACATCGGTCGTACGGAAAAATGTCGTACGATTTTTTTTCCGTACGACCTCCTTGTCACACTAGAGCGACCAAATACATTTCTTTGCTCTCCAACTGTCGTGCGATAGATGTTGCATGTCGTCACGTATGAAAGCTAAGCCTA